CACAGCATGTAGAGACACGCAGACACAAAACACTGACTGGCTGCGACTGAGGCTCACGGCCGGCGGCCCAGAGTCCTGCTGCACTTTACTGTGATTATTTCTGACTCGCGGCTGAGCAGGAAGAGTGAAACCTGCTGGACCTTTTCTCCTCCAGAAAGAAGAGCAATAAGAGCTGATAGGTTTACTATGACATGTGACTCCACCCATAACGATCCGCTCCTTCTTCGCCAGCATTACCACAAGATTTTGGTTGGACTTGGATTTTGTTTGTTACTATTTTTGCATATTTTAAAAAAAGATGTTTTTTCAAAGGTTACTTTACTTTACTAAAGGAAATGGTTCTATTTGGAACCATAAGTTCTTTACAGAAGCATTTCATGCTTACAAGGTTCTTTGCATGGTGAAATGGTTCTTTAGATTGATAGAGAACGTGTTGTATATGGCTCTATATAGCACCCAAAAGGGTTCTTCTATTGTTACAAGCTTGACATCGTAGTAATAGAAGAAGCTTTTCGGTGCTATTTAGAGCCATTTTCAAAAAGGTTCTATATAGAACCATGTACAACATGTTCTTCATCAGTCTGAAGAACCATTTCACCATGCAAAGAATCATTTCAGCATGAAATGGTTCTATACAGAGCAACTGGCTTTACGAAAGAACTCTTGAAGAGCCATTTTTTAAGTGTGTGGAGTCATTCTGATGTATTTTTGGGTGCTTCTTCATGCACTTTGAACATTTTTGCCTTGAAAATATAAAAGCAATCTGGCAGCCTTGTTCTCCGCTTTGCAAAACATTTTTGAGGGGGATTTTCTGAAAAATGCCTTACAAATTCGAACATCAGTCCTTTCTCATCCACAGTTACTGTAGTGAGTTAAAACTACAAAAAATGTACTAAAACTAAAACTAGCAGTGAAAATATGATATGAGCAGTGAAACTTTTTAACTGTAATAAAATTAAAAAGCAGCAGTTTTGAAAAGCACAAGAACTAAATCAAAATGGTGAAATGGTGGGATCTCTGCTGTGTTTGGTCTTTAAGCTCAGTCTACCGCTGTGTTAATGTTATTCAGCTCTTATCAAATACCTGCTATCACAGCGTCCATCATCACAAAAAAGAATAAAACTAAAACTAAAACCGAAATTAAATAAAACTAAACTAAAACTGTTACTTTCAAAATAAAAGCAAAACTAAAACTATTAATGCCTCCTAAAACTAACGGAAACTAAACTGCAGTCAAAACCTACAGAGCCCTGCTGGTGACACCCTGTATGAATAAAAATATTGTGTGGCCACACCTTATTAACACATGGGAATGAGATCCTAATTTCTGGCCACAGCTTAGTAAGGTGTAGGAACGAGATCCTAATGCATTTCCATGATTTAGTAAAGTGTGGGAATGAGATAATTACGTTGTGGCCGTGACTTAGTAAGGCATGGGAACGAGATTATTAAGACTTGACCACAGCTTAATAAGGCATGATCTGAGTCATGGCCACACATTAGGATCTCATTCCTATGCATTTCTAAGTTGTGGCCATGACTTAATCATCTCGTTCCCATGCCTTACTAAGTCATGGCTGTACATTAGGATCTCATTCCCATTCCTTACTAAGTGTGGCTACAACTTAATTTTCTTGTTCCCGTGCCTTACTAAGTTGTGGCCACACATTAAGATCTCATTCTCATGCCTTACTAACTCATGGCCATGCATTAGGATTTCATTCCCAAGCCTTACTAAGTCGTGGCCATAATTTAATTATCTCATTCCCATGCCTGACTAAGTTGTGGCCACGATTTAATTTTCTTGTTGCCATGACTTAATTATCTCATTTCCATGCCTTACTAAGTCATGGCCACAATTTAATTTTCTCATTTCCATGCTTTACTAAGTCATGGCCACACATTCAGATCTCATTCCCGTGCCTTACTAAGTCGTGGCCATAACTTATTTATCTCATTACCATGCCTAAGTTGTGGCCATGACTTAATTTTCTTGTTGCCATGCCTTACTAAGTCATGGCCACACATTAGGATCTCGCTCCCACGCATTACTAAGTCATAGCCGTGACTTAATTTTCTCATTCCCATGCCTTACTAAGTCATGGCCACAACTCAATTATCTCATTCCCATGCTTTACTAAGTCATGGTCACACATTAGGATCTCATTCCCATGCCTTGCGAAGTCGTGGCCACAACTTAATTATCTCATTTCCATGCTTTACTAAGTCATGGCCACACATTAGGATCTCATTATCGTGCCTTACTAAGTCGTGGCCATAATTTATTTATTTCATTCCCATGCCTGACTAAGTTGTGGCCACGACTTAATTTTCTTGTTGCCATGCCTTACTAAGTCATAGCCATGACTCTATCTCCTCCACATGCCTTACTAGTTGTGGCCACACATTAGGATCTCGCTCCCACGCATTACTAAGTCGTGGCCATGACTTAATTATCTCGCTCCCACGTCTTACTAAGTCATAGCAGTGACTTAATTTTCTCATTCCCATGCCTTACTAAGTCATGGCCACAACTCAATTATCTCATTTCCATGCTTTACTAAGTCATGGCCACACATTAGGATGCATTATTTATACCGGCTGTCGCCAGCAGAGCTTCATAAAAACCAAAAGAAAAACTTGATGAAAATAAAATGATAACGACCCTGAAACTCCACACAGCTCCACTGGTATCTGCCCCACCGCGTGTGTATGTGTGTTGGTGTTAGCTGTGAGTGGAGCCGCTGACCCAGTTCGGCCGTCAGAGTGAGGAGGAGCACCGTGAGCTCACTGAGGTGACAGACAGAGAGAAAACTGCTGCACTGAATTTGAAAAGGTTCTAACTGCGAAAGTCACCCGACTATTTCGGTCGCTCGGTTCCGCCCCGAGGCCTGCGCAGCGCCGGACTCACTCCGCCGACTCGGCCGACCTTGGGTGTGATATTTTTACCCTGTCGGACGTCCCTCTGCTCTGGAGGTCACGTTAACCCCCTTTCTTTATACCCCACCTGACTGACGTTTCTGAGTCGCTCCCGTGGCCTTTTCTCTCTTTTTCCCTCCTTCATTCCTCCCCTGCGAGCGAGCTCCTCCCCTGCGCTGACCCGCGTCTTTGCCGGAAGGTTCTTTTAAAACTTCCCATGAATATTAAAGTGCGTAACGTACGGGGCGCTCCCTCGAGAGATCCGGGGTCACGCGCGCAAAACGGCTCAGATCCTTCCTTTTATATTATGAATATAAATACATTAAGGGCCCATATCCTACATTTCTCTTCTATTTTATTTTCTCCCCGAGGTGCACTTATACGGTGTCAGTTTGGCCACCAAAAACAGCCATAATTCATTTCTACATGACCAGTTTCAGAACTCTCTCTCATTGTTTGGAACAAAGATAACTTACTGTTCTTCTTCTTTTAACAAAATCACTTTTTTATACTGTTTCCATGCAGTTTTGCTCTAGAATTACAAAGCTTCGCAGGACTGCACAGCCTATAGTGGGGAGAGTGTGCTTGTGCATTCGGGACTGGTCACAACATTTCATTCAAACAATATTGAGAAAAATCTAATCTAACTGCCACAAATGATGCCACAAAGGACACACACTGCCATAGACATTACATACAGACTCACAAACATAGCAGCACACATATACATATACACACCTTAGCAACCACCTGGGATACCATAGCAACAGTCTACCAACATCTTAGCAACCACCTGGGATAATATAACAATGGCCTAGCCACACCTTAGCAACCACCTGGGATACCATAGCAATGGCCTAGCCACACCTTATCAACAATCTGGAACAATATAGCAACGGTCTAGCAACACCTTAGCAACCACCTGGGATACCATAGCAAAGGCCTAGCAACACCTTAGCAACCACCTGGAATTGCATAGCAATTTTTTTGTCAAGACAACTTAACATTTGTACGTGAACTGTGCTCTTCTCGTGCTACTGTACCTTTAGACTAATGTAAATAAATGATCTCAGTTCATATATATATATATATATATACATAATTTTGCTGGAGCATTTTTTTTCATTCCAACTTGTTTGCCAACCTCAAAACACCTAAATATGGGGATTTGCACACTTAAAAATGGTGGTTTTTCAAAGGTTCTTTATTAAAGAAAATACAAAATGAAGTTCTATACAGAGCCCAATAAAGAACCCTACTCAAAGAACCCTTTGCATGATTAAAGGGTTCTTTGCATCATGAAAGTGTCCTTCAGATTGATAGAGAAAGTGCTGTAGATGCTTTAAAAATGGGATTCTAAATAGCACCAAAAGGTTCTTGCGTTGTTAGAGGCTTGACATTGTAACAATAGAAGAACCTGTTTTGGTGATATATAGAACCATATAAACCACATTCTCCATCAATCCGAAGAGCAATTTTTCCAGACAAAGTTCCATTTAATCATGCAAAGTGTTCTTTAAGGGATCATGATTATATATAGAACAATTTTCTTTACTAAAGAACCTTTACTGAAGAACCATCATTTTTAAGAGTGTATGTCAAATATTATAAAAGTGTTAGATCAGTGGTCTTCAGCTCTGGTCCTGGAGATCTACTTTCTTGCAGAGTTGAGCTCCCACCTGTGTCCAATAAGTTGCCCCGCCCCCTTAATTAATTCTAACACATCTGATCCAGCCAATCAGGGACTTAGGAAGACGCTGATTAGCTGTAGCAGGTGTGGCAGATTGTGGTTGGAACTAGACTCAGCAGCACCAGTGTTGGAGACCACTGTCCCAGGCCTTGTTCACACTGCCTGCATAAATCCAGTTTGTCATATCCAGATTGTATCCAGATTGATTTTTGACAGTGTGAACAGCAAAATCCACTTTTTTGCAAATCGGATCAAAACCACATTTGGACGTCTTTTGAAATGCATCCTCTTAGGTTGAGGGTGAGGGTTGAGGGTATCATGATGTGGTCTTTTTGCTTGTTTGCCCACCCTTACCAGACAGCATGTTTAACCGTCCTGTCTGGTTCCACAGCTCCAGAGTGTTATCCCGGAGGGTACCGGACGTTACGGAACCCGTACCGCAGCGTGGACTTTCGACTCCACAGAGCTTCAGAACACGGCCATCCAGGATCTGATCTGCGACCACTCGCTGGAGCCGGGATGGTACCGCTTCAGCATCAACAACAAACCTGCAGAGATGCCCACCAGCTGTGTGGAGGTGAGGGGGGACCACCCGCTGACCTGAGAACGAAGAACCAGTCTCTCTTTCTTTCTGTTTTTCGCCAAATCAGGACCTCTCAGTACTGAACACTATAATTCCAGGCTGTTTATTATCACAGCAGGCTGGATAGGGATGTGCACGGGTTCTACAGGAATTACATAATCCTTCCAGGGGCCAATAATTTAAGTCTGAATTCACTACTGGGCTGCATCGTATCAAATTCAGGGAGAAAGTAATGAATATTGAAATAGAAAGTCAGGGATGTAAGTTTTGGTCATGTCTTTAAGTCTTCAAGTAAATATTTTGTACTTTGATATTTACATGGCTTTAACTAGGCTAATTATTCTAGCTGGCTTTATCTAGAACCCAAAACAAAGAAACAATATTCTACTCTGTTCTCAGTCTTCTCAACCAATGTTGGAACATCATCCCCTAGGAAGAGAGAACCTTGTGTAGAAGTCACCACGTTCTACCACTGTGCTGGTTAGCTCTAGTGTTAGTACTGTAGCTATGTCTCTATGTCAGCATTGGCTAGTGTTGGTGCCAGTGTTAGTATTAGCTGTTGTGCTGGTACAAGTGGATCAGACACAGCAGTGCTGCTGGAGTGTTTAAACACTGTGTCCACTCACTGTCCACTCTATTAGACACTCCTACCTTGTCGGTCCACCTTGTAGATGTAAAGTCAGAGACGATAGCTCATCTGCTGCTGCACAGTTTGTGTTGGTCATCCTCTAGTCCTTCATCAGTGGTCACAGGACGCTGCCCACAGGACGCTGTTGGCTGGATGTTTTTGGTTCTCAGTCCAGCAGCGACACTGAGGTGTTTAAAAACTCCAGCAGCACTGCTGTGTCTGATCTACTCAGACCAGTGCAACACACACTAACACACCACCACCACGTCAGTGTTACTGCAGTGCTGAGAATGACCCACCACCCAAATAGTACCTGCTCTGTGAGGGTCCATGGGGGTCCTGACCACTGAAGAACAGGGTAAAGGGGGCCAACAAAGTATCAGAGAAACAGATGGACTACAGTCTGTAACTGTAGAACTACAAAGTGCACCTATACAGTAAGTGCAGCTGATAAAATGGACAATGAGTGTAGAAACAAGGAGGTGGTCAGAATGCTCTGCCTGATCAGTGTATAGTGTATGTATATTGGCCCTAATTGATCATTATAAATCAGTGAATTGTCTCTGACTGCTGTTCGTGTCTCTGTAGATGAACCGGTGCGGTACTCAGGCTCCGGTGTGGCTCTCTCTGAAGGACGTGTCTCTGCCCCGGCCCGGTGAGGTGAGGCAGCTCTCAGCCTGCGCCACCTGGCAGTTCTTCCACGGCAGCGCTAAAGACTGCTGTCTGTTCCGCATCCCCGTCACCGTCCGCAACTGCGGACACTTCCTGATCTACTATCTGCAGCCCACGCAGGGGTGCATGGGGTACTGCGCCAAAGGTAACGTCGCCTATCTGACTCTGCCTTCATTCGGCTCACATGTCACCATTAATAACCAGAAAATAATCAATCAGTGCTGAGGAGAGTGTAGTGGAGCTAGCAGTGCTGCAGATGTCTGGTTATTATGGAGAACTGTGAACTTCGTCCTGGTAGCACACTGGACACAGATACCAGTCTATACAGTCAGAATTCTTAGCTCTAGTATGTGTTTGGCTCTAGTGTTAGCTTTAGCTCTAATGTTAGCTGTAGTGTTAGCATTACAACTAGTGTTAGTTCCAGTGTCACCATCAGACCTCAGTGTTAGCTTTACTGTTAACAGTAGATACAGTGTTCCCTCTAGTGGTAGCATCATGTCAGGTGTTAGCTCTAGCATTAATGTGAGGTATAGTGTTAGCTCTAATAGTAGGTTTTGTGTTAGCATTAGGTCTACTGTTAGCTCTAGTGTTAGTATTAGGTCTAGCATTAGGTCTAGTGTTAGTGTTAGGTCAAGAGTTAGCGTTACGTCTAGTGTTAGGTCAAGAGTTAGCGTTAGGTCTAGTGTTAGTGTTAGGTCAAGAGTTAGCATTAGGTCTAGTGTTAGCTCTAGCATTAGGTCTAGTGTTAGCGTTAGGTCTAGTGTTAGCGTTAGGTCTAGTGTTGGCGTTAGGTCTAGTGTTAGCTCTAGCGTTAGGTCTAGTGTTAGCTTTAGGTCTAGTGTTAGGTCTAGTGTTAGCATTAGGTCTAGTCTTAGGTCTAGTGTTAGTGTTAGGTCTAGTGTTAGCGTTAGGTCTAGTGTTAGCGTTAGGTCTAGTGTTAGTGTTAGGTCTAGTGTTAGTATTAGCTCTTGTTAGGTCTAGTGTTAGCGTTAGGTCTAGTGTAAGTATTAGCTCTTGTTAGCTCTAGTGTTAGGTCTAGTGTTAGCATTAGGTCTAATGTTAGTGTTGGCTCTAGTGTTAGTAGTAGCTCTTGTTAGCTCTAGTGTTAGGTCTAGTGTTAGTGTTAGGTCTAGTGTTAGTGTTAGGTCTAGTGTTAGCATTAGGTCTAGTGTTTGTGTTAGGTCTAGTGTTGGCGTTAGGTCTAGTGTTAGCTCTAGCGTTAGGTCTAGTGTTAGCATTAGGTCTAGTGTTAGGTCTAGTGTTAGCGTTAGGTCTAGTGTTAGCATTAGGTCTAGTCTTAGGTCTAGTGTTAGTGTTAGGTCTAGTGTTAGCGTTAGGTCTAGTGTTAGTGTTAGGTCTAGTGTTAGTATTAGCTCTTGTTAGGTCTAGTGTTAGCGTTAGGTCTAGTGTAAGTATTAGCTCTTGTTAGCTCTAGTGTTAGGTCTAGTGTTAGCATTAGGTCTAATGTTAGTGTTGGCTCTAGTGTTAGTAGTAGCTCTTGTTAGCTCTAGTGTTAGGTCTAGTGTTAGTGTTAGGTCTAGTGTTAGCGTTAGGTCTAGTGTTAGCGTTAGGTCTAGTGTTAGTGTTACCCTAGTGTTAGCTCTAGTGTTAGGTCTAGTGTTAGAATTGGCTCTAATGTTAGGTCTAGTGTTAGTGTTAGCTCTAGTGTTAGTATTAGCTCTTGTTAGCTCTAGTGTTAGGTCTAGTGTTTGTGTTAGGTCTAGTGTTACTGTTAGATCTAGTGTTATCATTAGATCTGATAAAGCCTTTGATTTAGTGTTTGCTTTAATGTTAGCATTAGGGCTAGTGTTAGCATTAGCTCTAGCATTAGATCTAGTGTAAGCATTAGCTCTTGTTAGCTTTAGTATTAGCATTAGATCTGGTGTTAGCTTTAGTGTTAGCTCTAGCATTAGTGTTAGATGTAGCTTAGCCAGTTTATGAGGAGTGTGGCCACTTCCTGTTTCCCCCATTATGTCAAAAACATGACTGCTAAACAGAGGGCACCCGCAAGTGAGTCCTCAATGAATGGGAGTGAATGGAGCTCAACAGCTAAAAATGAAAGGTTAAAACAGTTTCTAAACAGTCGCCCAGAACTTTCCTTTAATTTTAGAAAGTAGAAGGACTTATTTCACTAAAAAAACAAGGAAATCTCACCTGTATGTTTCCTTTTTTATACAGCAAACGGGTTTTGGGCAGCAGAAGGCAGGCATTACTGCTACTGAGTGCTGATTGATTGCATTACAGCTACTGAGTGCTGATTGATTGCATTACAGCTACTGAGTGCTGATTGGTTAGCATTACTGCTACTGAGTGCTGATTGGCTAGCATTACTGCTACTGAGCACTGATTGGTTGGCATTACTGCTACTGAGTGCTGATTGATTAACATTACTGCTACTGAGTGCTGATTGGTTAGCATTACTGCTACTGAGAGCTGATTGATTGCATTACAGCTACTGAGTGCTGATTGGTTAGCATTACTGCTACTGAGTGCTGATTGATTGCATTACAGCTACTGAGTGCTGATTGGTTAGCATTACTGCTACTGAGTGCTGATTGGCTAGCATTACTGCTACTGAGCACTGATTGGTTGGCATTACTGCTACTGAGTGCTGATTGATTAGCATTACTGCTACTGAGTGCTGATTGGTTAGCATTACTGCTACTGAGAGCTGATTGATTAGCATTACTGCTACTGAGTGCTGATTGGTTAGCATTACTGCTACTGAGTGCTGATTGGTTGGCATTACTGCTACTGAGTGCTGATTGGTTAGCATTACTGCTACTGAGTGCTGATTGGTTAGCATTACTGCTACTGAGTGCTGATTGGTTGGCGAGTGGAGCAGCTCATTGGTTGTTCGCTCTCACTGACATCAAGGACGTACATGAGGCGCCGTTTTAAACTCCTATAACTCGAGTTTAAAAGCTCTTAAAATATAGATATAAAGCTATAGATATAAACTGAAGTGTGGACCCTCATACAGACACAAACACGAACCTACAGCTAAAATTCACTCTGAGAAAAAGAGAAATTCTGCCTTTTCCCCCAGAAAAAGACACACACGAACAGAGTCTGGTGATATTTTTATTTACATTGATTTTTTCAGGTTCTCTCAAAGTCAAAAACAAAATAATAAATCAAAAGAAAAGAGAAAAGAATGTTTCAGAGAGGATGAAAGCCTTTCCCTCAGGTCTCTCAATAGCTTTGCCTTTACTATATAATCAATATCTATCTCTTCTTCTCTCTCTGTCTCTCTCTCTCTCTCTCTGTCTCTCTCTCTCTCTCTCTCTCTCTCTCTCTCTCTCTCTCTCTGTCTCTCTCTCTCTCTCCACTTTAATATTCCCTGCAGTTGTAGCCTTGACAGCAGCTCTACAGATGATTTTATTATCAGCCCTGTTCTACACCTCTACATACATAAAGCTACTTTAAAGCGATAGTTCAGCCAAAAATCCAAATCCCCCAGTTCACCCCCTCCTTGCTGCAGATGTAGTCGATCAGCCAGGATGTGTTTAGCGTCTGTAGTTTGCTTTTTTTAAGGCGGCGATGCTAAAAACCAGCAAAGAAATATCGAATTTCGCTGTGGCAGAATACATATCAACTATATCAAAAAGGTTTTTTTTAAAAAGGTAGGAGAAACTGTGGCAGCGTGTAGGATGGTTCCACTTCGGAAAAGCAAAAGGAGAACACACAGTTTCTCCACCCCGTCATGTTTACATGCAGCCTGATAATCCGTAAATAATCTGAGTAATAGCTTAATCGGAATAGAATACGTCCATGTATACACTTCAGTCAGAACAGGCTAGTCCAATTGAGGCCATTCGGAATACAGTTTCTATCTAACTGATCGAGGTGGGTAATCCTGTAAAATAATCCATTAAATAGAAGAATAATATCCGTGTAAACGCCTGTATCTGATTACATTCCCTATCAGAAAGTTTAAGTCTGTTCTGCATGTGCGTACTCGAGTTGAGTAGAGTGATATAAACACCTCAGTCTTAATCTATAATCTGAATGTATTTAATCAGATTGGAGAAAATCTTTGCATGTAAACACAGACAGTACGAGAGCTTCCCTCTCAGCTGGGATCTCAGCTGAGTTTGAGCTGATTTCAGAGATGCAGCTCCACATGAGACCTCGGGCCTGCTGTTTATCAGAGCATCGCCGCTCCCCAGTTTCAGTCTCCATTTCCCAAACGCTTTAGCCGAGCGCGCTAACGTTACTCCTCCTAATAAACAGACACGCGTTCAGCTCCGTCTCCTCATTATTCACCACCATCACTGTAATATTTCATCATCAACATTAACACACGAAGGTGATCAGAGGGGCGGTGGAGATCGAGTCTGCAGCGTCTGAGATCTTTAAAACGCAGAGTTAGAAAAGAAAATCATCTCACAGTGAAAGCAGCGTTTTACAGTAGAGATAAATGGAGCTCATTATGCTGGTAGTGAACTATGCTGCTGACTCAGCTGCCTAAAAACCATAGAAACGGACCTTAAACAGAAGTGAGGACCCTGTTGGGGTTCATCCTAAAGTTAGGACAGGATTTAGGAGGTTTAGTCCAGTTAGGATGTTTGTGTGATGCCTTTTTCTTATCTGGAGTTAATGATGAGATTATGAAGTTAGGAACTGATATTCTGGAATAGCTACTGTACTGAATTCATCATAGAGACTAAACACATCAGATTTCACAGTTAAGAAGTTTCTGTAACAGCTCTCAGCAGATGGTGACACCACTGTCCATTCTGGACAAGTGAAAGACGCTGACCAGACTTTCAGGATCCACTCTGGATCAAACTGATCCGGCAGAACCGACACCGCTGGAGAAACAGCCACAGCGGAGTTACAGCTGCTCAGGAGAGAAGGGTCTGTCTGCAGACTGCAGGACAGGGGTGGAACCTGGAGGGGTGGAACAGCTCTGGAGGCTGACTAATCAGAACAGATTGGGCGAGCTGACCAACCAGAGCACACTGGGCTCATTGGGAGGCGGGGCTTAAAGACACAGAAGCTCTAACAGAGCGTTTCAGACAGAGGGTGAATAGAGATGAACAGTATGAGGGAAATAAGGTGCTTTTGGAAGCTGTAAATCTGTTCTGATCAAAAATACAATTACAAACGCTGAAAATAATAATAATAGGTCGCCTTTAATGGAGCCAATTTTTGGACTTAACATCCGTTGAGTGGAGGATGTTAGAGTGTGAACAAAGCTGATCAGAAAAAGTCAGAGCTCATTCTGTGGCTGGTTGTGTTTTAACAGTGGTGTCGGAGTTCACTCCTAAAGCCTGTCTGCCCGGCGAAGTGGAGGTCAGTGGAGTCTGTAAAGGTAAACACAACAGATTCATAATTAATTGACAATTAACGTGCTCTTTTATTTGTGTAAAACACATGGTTTAATATTTTACTCCCCTTGCATGCACTGTTTAAAAGCTCCCTGTAGTGTTGAGGCCTCGAAGGTACAAAAACGCTGCATTAAATGTATTAATATCACATTTTGGATCGTTTAAAGGGCCCAAATCCTACATTTTTCTTTTTTTTTGCATGAACAAATGACTCAAGCTGGCAGTGAAGGAGGCTCTTCTCACACAGAGAAGTGTTGCTGACTCTGTGGCAGTCAGACTCAAAGCCGGGAGTCACTTTAAACATCTGTCTGTTTAAACATTCTTTAAACACAGAATTACAGTTGCTCCCCAAGTATAGGGTGGATGATAAGAATCTTAAGAAGAATGCAATTTTTTACCATTTTGCAATAATTCCTCTGCCATTTTCTTGTGTCCAGCTGTCGTCCCCCCGCTGTCCTCCAGGCCGGTGGTGACCGCTGAGCTAGTCGGCAGCAGTGTCCATCTGCGGTGCTCGTACAGCGGAGTTCAGAGTGGCTGGCCGGTGGGATACGAGGTGATCTGGGGGCGCGTTTCCTCCAACAACATGAAGGTGGAGGTGAGGAGGGACAGGACCACCCAGCTCTACTCCCGTGTGGAGATGGACGGACTTCACTTCAGACTCGGAGAAACGGTACGGAAGCAAAGATAGTCGTTAATATCATATTTATACTAATTAAACTAATAGAAGTAAAAGTTTCAGACCTCACAGTGATTCTGCTTGATTACGATTCTTTAGGAAATGATTCGGTGTGTCAGTTTGGTTCAGATTTCAACACAATCTGATTCATTTTGGTAGAATTATTTTTAATACACTGAATATGCAAATGTAACATGAGAAATATATATATATGTATTTATACACTTATTGAAAATTCCAGCTGCCCCTTGAGTTAGACAGTTTGGGTCCTGCTGACCAAATAAGATATAATGCGCATGCATTCACGATATATTTGACGAACTTAAAAAACAGTAATTGTGGCATGTGCAAAAGTTTGGACACCCAAGTCTCAGAGCTTAATGAACATGTTAAGCCTTAATTGACTTGTTAGGACTATTTAGACATGTCAAGAATTGTCTTAACACTGTCAGAATAAAAGGTACTATACAGATACAGTTTTTCATTTTTTAAGGTACAAACAATGTAAATAGGCCCTCAAAGGTACAACAGCGATTTTAAGGTCCAACTAAGCACCTTAAATTTGTTTTCCCAGAGGAAGGGTACATATTTGTACCTTTTCATAAACTAATGTTTTAAAACAGAACAATAAAATAAAAGGCCTGGAGACGAGACGGGAACATAAGACATTGGGAACACAGATCCCTGGGAATATAGGACCCTGGGAACATATGGCTCTGGGAACATAGGGCCCTCGGAATGTAGAGATCTCTGAATATAAGATCCTTAGATTATAGGACCCTGCGAACATAGTGCCCTGGGAACATAGGGCCCTTGGAGCATAAGACATTGGGAACACAGAGCCCTGAGAATATAGGACCCTGGGATCATAGGAACATAAGGTACTGTGAATATTGGATCATGGGGACATTGGACACTGGCAACATAGGGCCTTCCCTAAAGCCGAGGGAATGTAGGACCCTGGGAACATAAATGCTCACCCTCATAAATCATTCATATGAATTACAGCAGTGTTTTGTTGTTAGCTCACGTACTCCTCAACAAATGCAGTCTCACTGTTCGATTACGTATGGACTGCACTGTGCAGCCTCTTGATAATTAACCAAAAAATTCCCCCCTTAATCTTCTTATCCCTCAACTTTCTCTGCAGCCGCTGTTGTCATTAGCGCCGGTCGCTGCATGCGCTTTCAAATCCTGCTAGCTGTGCTAATCAATAAGCATGCATCCCTGTGAAATTAATTAGTCTTCATGAAGAATAAAGCATCCCGGCTGCTCACTGCTGTCAGTGTTCTTCAGCTCAGGATGGATTGGTGAAGATGTCTAATCATGAGCACTGACTGATGTGGTTTGATTGACAGTTCTCCTGCAGCGTCTCCACGTACCTGCTGAACTCCTCCAGCGTCCAGTCATCGTCCAGGGAGAGCGGAGGATTTTTTGCTGGGATTAAGGTGAGTCTCTTTTATTTCACACTCATTTCTGTCCTTCAAGCTTTTAAAAGTTTTCAAAACTCCTCCATAACTCAGCGTGAGGGCTGTAAACAGAGGGATTCAGAGTGGTCTGGTGTGAAATGGTTCAGATGTCTTTACAGTGGTGGTGATAGGAACCAGGGGTCGCCATGACGACAACACAAATATAGACATTTTATTTACTATCGAGAACCACCAGTGAACCTACACGAGTCTTCTGAGTTTATATGGAATGTTGATGATGGAAAATAGTGGAAAATCTGAAATAATAAGTTTTCTTTGGGGACTATTTTGCCTCACAGCGCCCTGCATGTATCCCTCCACCATGAATGGAGTTTAAGTTCTCCAAACTATCATAAAACAGTGTCTCAGTCATCAGGCAGTGAATTCATAACCATTTCATGTAGGAACTTTCTGTGAGGGAGCTTTTAGAGGTGGACGTCTGGTTCCTATCACCACCACTGTGAACAGTTCTGACTCTGTAAGTTTATCTAGAACAGAACGTTTCACACCAAACTTTGTTTACATTTTAATTATGCAGAGGTTTTGAAAAATCTTTGTAATATTCTTATTTAAACTGTAATGAAATGGTCTTGCCTTCTACTGCTTTGCACTCAGTTACATTGCGGTCAAGCACATTAATGAACTAAAAGGGAGCTGCTACAAAATATCAAACCGTATAAACGACATTAATTATAGACAGTAAGAAAACTAGCTAAAGCTATTAGGCTGCTGTGGAAATTGTTCAACACTGTATCTGGGCAGTATTTTTGCCAGTAAAAGTGCTATAATATTAGAAAAAAACACAAATTAACATAAATACAGTAGTCAGAAGTCAGAATGTGTTGTTTTCAGTAGGTTAGAACAACACCGGTTTGGTTCTTGACTTCTCACTTCACACTCCAGCCATCATTCAGTTCCATCAGCAGCGTCTGATTTAAATTAATAAAGGACTGATTAGATAAAGTAGGTTATGGATTGGTGACTGTAACTGTACTGGACTTTCTCCAAGAGTGATTTGCTCACTCAGCTTTAGTTGCTTGGTATTGACATGAAACTAAATTGCATTTGAGTTAAGTTCAATGTAAAGTGCTCTGCAACTCCCTTGAAACTCAGCTGCAACAGTTGAATTGAATTGAACTGAATTAAATTACAAGCATCCAAACTTTGAAACAAGTGTCATGAAACAACCAATCAAAATGGCAATGACTCATCATGTGATAATATCATAATGTGGTGATGACGTTGCATCACGTTGCATGAAAGTTTCACCGTATAAAGCCAGTCTGTGACTTTTAGGCTGTACAGTAGCATACTCTTTGCTTGCAGTTTGTTCCAGATGTTCTACAGATCCGTGAGGACGGTAAAGAACACACGCTAAGCGTGCACAGCACCGTACCGATCTTCTGCTATGGGTCAGAACCGAACCGCCCCTGCAGGCTGACCTTGCAGCTCAGCGTCCACGAGCCAGGTCAGAACCTCTCTGTATAAATTACAATCCAAACACAAGAGCACCAAATATGAATCAGCTAAGATATAAAACTTGCTTCTTTATTTGTAGCACTGCAGCTATGAAGCTAATGTAGCTAACAAACTTATGCTAACAAGAATTAGCATCATGCAAACTGCCTAAATTATCACAGACTCGCCTCAAAGCGTGTGGAGGTGTGGTTTCTGACACTATAAGACTCACTGTTATGATTTAGCCCTGCAGTTAACTCCACTCTAATTGGTGGGTTATAAGCTTCCACTACTTTGAGTTACTTTAGCCTCGTAGCTCCAGTGCTAAAACAGACTTCAGACACCAAACGTCTTGTTTTTGTGATTTCTGGCGGTTTTTCCGCGTCCGAAACTGTAGCAGCAGCCGTGAAACTGGAATTCTGTCAACGTCTTTGTCTAATTAAGCTTCTCTGATCTTTTCTCTGGTACTTTTCCAGACAGTTTAGTAGCTGCGGCTCCAAACGTGGCTCTGTCGTCCTGCCAGCTGGAGCTGGTTTCTCAGCCGTGTCTCGATGGTGTTTGTGCGCACGGTTCCGTTACCGTCACCGCGGTTACAGATTTCTCTCGGGACGGGAACCGGCCAAGCCTCCTGATCGCCCGGCCCACTGGAGTCGGCCCACGGCTCTGGAGAGGATACACACCCACAGCCCTGAAGGTCAGTCATATAAGAGTATTATGTTGACCACTAGCAAAGCATCACTGTACTCTTTTATAAAAGAGTGTCAAGGTTCTTTAGTCAAAGGGGATGGCTCCATTTTGGAACCATGAGTTCTATGCAGAGCCATTTCATGCTCAAGGTGTTCGTCAGATCGATGGAGTTTTATATCGAAGTGTTCTTCTATTGTTACAGGCTTGACATAATAGCAATAAAAGAACCCCTTTTGGTGGTATGTACAACCTTTTTCAAAAATATTCTATATAGAACCATAGAACCATATACTAAGCATTCTCATTCAATATATAGGACTATTTTACCATGTAAAGAACCATTTAAGCATTAAATGGTTCTAAATAGAAATTTTAAAATGATTCTGTACAGCACCAAAAGGGGTTCTTGACATCCTAACAACAACAGAACGCTTTTTTGGTGCTATATAGAACCATTTTCAATAAGGTTCTATGTACAACACATTCTCCATCAATCCATTCCACCATGCAAAGAACTATTTAAGCATGAAATGGTTCTATATAGAAGTCATGGTTCTAAATGGAACCATTCCTTTTACTAAAGAACCCTCGGAAGTCTTTTTTAGGAGTGTACAGTAGCCTCAAATTTATATAGCCGCTGCTTTGGAATCAGCCTTCATCCCTCGTTTTTTCCTATTATCCGCCTTATTTTTCATGCAACCACTCTGTTCGGTGATGATGGCTGAAATATCCAGCAAGGGACCAAATATGAATCAGCTAAGATAAGAAATTTGCTTCTTTACTTTTAGCAGTGAAGCTATAAGGCTAATGTAGCTAACAAGTAATGGAAACATATGCTAACAAGAATTAGCATCATACAAACTGCCCAAATTATCACAGACTCACCTCAAAGCGTGTGTAGATGTTCAGCATCTCTTGATTCTGTGGTTTCTGACACTGTAAGACTCACTGTTATCTATAAACATGGACTAAAGAACAATAGCATAAAGCTAAAAACATAGAATAACAGAACCTTTCCCTTTACTAGTGTAGAGTGTACAGTAGCCTCAAACCCATATCGCCGCTGCTTTGGAATCAGCCTTCATCCCTCATTTTTCCTAATATCCACTTTATTTTTCATGTGAAAGCTCTGTTCGGTGATCATGGCCGAAATATCCAGTGATGGAACGGAAGTGTTGATTGTTGTTGATTTACTGTTTTTGGTGAAGTATAAGAACGTGTTTTAACACTCAGTGAAAAAGCTGTTCGAGTTGTTAGCATTGAATGATGATAAACTGCCAGCTGAACGTCTCTGGTTGCCCCTAACAGACCCTCTTTAACTGTTTTACACTTATTCTCTTCATAACTGGATGTATTCAGCCCTCACTACAGCAGGCTGAGCAGGTCAGCAGGAAGCTAACAGGCTAACACTACCATAATAAATAACACTTCAATTCCAAGCCTTTAAGGATGGAATTACTTAAAAATTGAGACATACAAAGTAAAAAAGGTCACTTACATGTCTGTTACTAGCTAAACTTGTCTTTATTTAAACTACAGCTGACAACAAAAGCGAATATAGCACCGAGCTAACCTTGCTGGCTTGGCGCTAACATACCACGGTGAACGAGGAGCACCGTGGAAGTGCTGGCTTAAAAAAGCACATTTCCATGTTAGACGTTGCTGTTGTGGTCCTCCGCCTGTATCTGACTCTCAGTCTAAACACATTTAAACAGTTTAAATGAAATAACTTCATCAGCATCACACGGTTTTAGATTTCTGTTGACAGACCGATTACAAACATGGCACACAAGCTTTCGAGCATCCCAGCAGTAAAGATTATTTACATATTTATTTGTTCATGTTAGGATGTGACCAGCATTCAATGTGTTGTCTTCCATACGCGTCCTCTCTCAAAGCATCATGGGCTGCAGGAAAACGGTTGCTTTTGTCTGATTGGTTGAGAAGCGTTCTAGGTTCATCGTTCCTCTGAGCACTAGCTGCTAAGTAATGACTGCTTTGCGTCCATCTGTTAGAACGTTCCTGCTTTAGCACTTAAAACAACAGGATATGAGAACATGTTTGGTGTCTGAAGTTCACTTCTGTGCTACGAGGCTAATGTAGCTAACAAGTAATGGAAACGTATGCTGACAGGAATTCGCATCAAGAAAACTGCCTAAATTATCACAGACTCGCCTCAAAGCGTGTGGAGGTGTTCAGCGTCTCTAATAGACCTGGTTCTGTGGTTTCTGACTCTGTAAGACTCACTGTTATCTATAAACATGGACTAAAGGACTTTAGCATAACGCTGAAAACAGTAGTTGCAGCCACGTTGAAGCCTGAACCTGCGGCAGTCGGAGAGGCCATGAGCTGATGCTCTAATTTTCTGGATCGTTACCTTGAGATCGCAAAATACTTATCTCAAGATAACAAGATAACTAACTCATTATTTTTAAGATAACAATTTTGTTATCTTGATCACAAGATATCCCAATAAGAAAGTTGTTATCTAAAGATAACTTTCTTATTGGGATATCACAAGATAATTAACTCATTATCTAAAGATAACATCTTCTGTTATCTCAAGATAACAAGATAATTAACTCATTATTTTCAAGATAACTTTCTTATTTTGAGATCACAAGATAATTAACTCATTATTTTCAAGATAACTTTCTTATTTTGAGATCACAAGATAATTAACTCATCTAAAGATAACAACTTTTGTTATCTCAAGATAAGATAACTAACTCATTATTTTTTAAGATAACAACTTTCTTACTTTGATATCACATGATAATTAATTTATCTTAAGACAACAAGATAACTAACTCATTATTTTTAAGATAACAATTTTGTTATCTTGAGATCACAAGATATCCCAATAAGAAAGTTGTTATCTAAAGATAACAACTTTCTTATTGGGATATCACAAGATAATTAACTCATTATCTAAAGATAGCAAAAGTTATCTCAAGATAACAAGATGACTAACTCATTATTTTCAAGATAAATTTCTTATTTTGAGATCACAAAAAAATGAACTCATCTAAAGATAACAACTTTTGTTATCTCAAGATAACAAGATAACTCATTATTTTTTTAAGATAACAACTTTCTTACTTTGAAATCACAAGATAATTAATTTATCTCAAGACAACAAGATAACTAACTCATTATTTTCAAGATATCTATTTTGTTTATTGAGATCACAAGATAATTAACTTATAATCTCAGGTTTACCATCCTGAAAATTATAACTACCTCATGGTCTCTCTGGACCTCTGTATAAACCTTGGTCCATTCATATAAATGACAACTTGATACAAGTGGGTGTTGATTTAGCCCTGCAGTTAGCTCCACTGCTAACTGGTGGGTTATAAGCTTCCACTGCTTTGAGTTAGTTTAGCCTCGTAGCTCCAGTGCTAAAACAGACTTCAGACGTCTTGTTTTCGTGATTTCTGGCGGTTTTTCCGCGTCTGAAACTGTAGCAGCAGCCGTGAAACCGGAATTTCATCCATATCTTTGTCTAATTAAGCTTCTCTGATCTTTTCTCTGGTACTTTTCCAGACAGTTTAGTAGCTGCGGCTCCAAACGTGGCTCTGTCGTCCTGCCAGCTGGAGCTGGTTTCTCAGCCGTGTCTCGATGGTGTTTGTGCACACGGTTCCGTTACTGTCACCACGTCTGACTCCAGCACTTATGGCACTTATATTTTTGACATAATTTGAAAATACCAGTTGATCTTTACATTGTATGTAAATTTCATGATGAATGAACTTAAAGAAACGGCCCAAAATGACTTGGAAAAGATGTCTGGTTCCATTGACTTACATTAAAAGTAAAGTAGGTTTTTTCCTTCTCCTGTAAAGTTACCATTTTGGACATACAACATTTTCTTCCGACAACAGACTATGAAAATGCTGGGTCAGATTCTGAAGCAGAGAGTGATCAAACTCATCTTTAATCCTAAGGGAGCTTTTCGGTGGGCAGCTGTGAACAACTAAACAAACTGGAATCCCCCATTGCCGGCCCACCCCTTACTTAAAGTCTCATCAGTTTCTCATGTGAGTAAACCACAAGTGGTTTCCGCAAACTTCACATGTTGAAAACTTCTTCACGAGACGTTTGATTACTTGTGAACACGTGTTTTTTGTGAAAAGTATGTGACTTTTCTCTAAGGGCCCCCCAGTTGTGAGACAAATTTGCCCCCCTTACAGACTGACTGGAACAAAACCACATTCAGGCTAATCTGGCAAGCTCTGAAAAAAGCTGAGCAGAGCCAGTTTGATGGTTCTGTCTGTGACAGCAGCTAAAATTTGCTGGATGTTTGTTTGTAGATCCGCGATTTTTCATAAATAAACATCCACAAATGTTCAAACTTACACTCTGAAAAGGCAGAGAACAAACTACAACCAAATATATTTCAAAAATGTCTGTTGTTAAATGTGGTAAATGCAGATCAGCGATGCTTTAGTGGGTAAGGGAGCGTCTACACAGTGCACAACTTTTTTCCCATGTGTTCAGCTAAAAAAAGGCAAAATCACTACGAATCACTTGTGAACAGAGCAGCTTCCTTCAGCTGGGATTTGTAGTCGGCTTGAAGGAAGCCACTTGTTTACTGCTGGTGTTTTAAGTGATTTTGCCTCGTGCACTTTTTGTCATGCACTTTCTAGACGGCCCCTTAGTGAATAATGCATTAATGATCTGTGTTTCTGGGCTATTGCAAACTTTCAGTGAAGACTTCTGGAGCAGATCCTTTGTTTCTAACAACTACAGGTCTCTTAAAGACCATGCAGACTGTTTCTACAGAACCCTTATAGAACCATGTGTTTTAAGCGTGTAGCTCATGTCTTGACAGGGAACGATTTCATGCTTAAGTCGTTCTTTGCATGGTGAGGTTCTTTAATCATGACTTATGATTACTGGTGTTCAGTGAAAGACTGTATACACTTAAAAATGGTTCTTTAGATAAGACAGTGTTTCTATTCAGAACCATGAGTTCTATATAGAACCATGTTATGCTAAAATGGTGCTTTGCGTGGTGAAATAGTTATTCAGATTATTGTATATGGTTCTATATAGCACCAAAAACAGTTCTACTTTTGTTAAGATGTCAAGTCTATATAGAACTATTTTCAAAAAAGGTTCTATATAGAACCCTATACAGCACATTTTCCATCAATCCAAAGAACCACTTCACCATGCAAAGATTCCTTATTCATGCAATGGTTCTTTGAGTGTTTATGGTTGTGTATAGAACCATTTTATTTATTAAAGAACCCTTGAAGAACCATCCTTTTAAAATGTTTACATTAGCAGAACACTTTTTGATGCTATACAGAACCATTTCTAAAAAGGTTCAATATAGAACCGTATACAGCACATTCTCCATCAATCTCAAGAACAACACTCTTAAAAAAAATATGGTTCCTCAAGGTTTCCTTAGTAAGAAAAAGGTTCTATAAAGAACTGTGAACACTCAAACAACCCTTTGCATGATTAAAAGGTTCTTTGCATCATGATATGGTTCTTCAGATTGATAGAGAATGTGCTATAGATGGTCCTATACAGAACCTTTTGAAAAGGGTAGCACCAAAAAGCTCGTCATCTTAACAATAGATGAACTCTCTTTTGGTTGCTACATAGAACCCTTTTCAGAAAGGTTCTATATAGAAACATCTACCACACATTCTGAAGAACCCTTTCATATTGGCACGAACCTTTTAATCATGTAAATGGTTTTTTGAGTGGAATGGTTCCATATATAGAACCCTTGAAGAACCATCTTTTTTAAGAGTGCATTTAAGCATGAAAGGGTTCTAAATAGAACTCATGGTTCTAAATAAAACCATTGCTTTTACTTAACAGAGAATAAGAGAGTATACTTATATAATAAAGCCTTATAGGCACCAGTAAACCTTCTCAGAACATCTCGAAGGCCCTGAAGGTTCCACGCTGCGGTCTTCTGATCTAGGAGAGCGGAACAGTACGGAGTGGAGTCCCGACGCACACATCTGTTTCAGAAATGACTGTTTTAGTAGAACGTGCCGCGTACCTTTCAATTCACCCTACAGCGGCTTAATCATCTCTCAGTCGTTCCCGAAGCAGAGGAGAACGTGGTCTGTAATAAGTCAGCTATGAGGGGAAAGACAGCGCGCTTTGTCTGTCTAATCTCCTGTGTGTCGTGAGGGGCCCCCCGAGACCACCACCTGTGTTTGGTGTAAACGTTCGCAGTCGAGGGTCCTTTAATCATGACTGAAGGCTGCGGTACGTTATGATTACAGCCTCGCTGCTTCAGCTTTACTGCAGTAACTCGCCAGTGTTCAGCAACAGACTGTGTACGCTTAAAAAAGACGGTTCTGCAGGGTTCTTTAGTTAAGGCATTGGTTCTATTTAGAACCATGAGAATGTGTTGTATATAGTAGTTAATGTGTTGTACATGCAGAATACACAGACTATACAGAACCTTTTTGAAAATGATTCTATCTAGCACCAAAAAATGTTCCTCTATTGTGGCGATGTCGAGCTCCTAACAGTATCAGAACCTTTTTGCATGCATAACACATTCTCCATCAATCTGAAGAACCATTTGACCATGCAAAGAACCATTTAAGCATGAAATGGTGCTATAAACTCTTTGGTAAGGACGATGGTTCTATCCAGAACCATGAGAATGTGTTGTTTGTTTCTGTACAGAACCTTTTTGAAAATGGTTCTATCTAGCACCAAAAAAGTGTTTTTCTATTGTGACGTTAAGCTCATATATTGCTGCTATATAGAACCATATACAACACATTCTCCATCAATCTGAAGAACCATTTCACCATGCAGAGAACTATTAAGGCATGAACACTCTTTGAAATGATGGTTCTTCAAGGGTTCTTTAGCAAAGGCAATGATTCTGTTTAGAACCATGAGAATGGGTGGTATATGATAAAAAATGTGTTGCAAATGTTTCTGTACAGAACCTTTTTGAAAATGGTTCTATCTAGCACCAAAAAGTTCTATTGTGACGATGTTAAGCTCGTAACAATAGCAGAACCCTTTCTTGCTGCTGTATAGAATGATATACAACACATTCTCCATCAGTCTGAAGAACCATTTCACCATGCAAAGAACTATTTAAGTGTGAACATTCTTTGAAATTATGGTTCTTCAAGGGTTCTTCAGTAAAGGCGATAGTTCTATTTAGAACCATGAGTTCTGCATAGAACAATGTGCATGCTTATATGGGTCTCTGCATGGTGAAATGGAATTATGGAGAATGTGTCGTATATGGATCCTACATGGAACCCAATTTCAAAATGGTTCTATGCAGCACAAAAAAGGGTTCTGTCATTGTAAGGATGTCAAGGACTCTATTTGTTGTTGTATAGAACCATTTTCAAACACATTCAACACGTTCTTCATCAATCTTTTAACCATGAAATGGTTCTAAATAGAACCTTTAATCAAGTGTGTAGCTTGTCTGTTGACAGGGACAAGGTAAGATTTTAATGACTAAATAATAATAATAATAATAATAATAATAATAATGAAAAGTTTGATCAATTTAATCATAGTAAAGATTCACTTGTATTTATGTATTTATTATTTATATATTTTTAAAACCTGCAGTAGCCGTAACTGATTAAAGGTGCAGTGTATGAGATTTAGTGGGATCTATTATCTGAAATGGAATATCGTAAACAAAGCTATGTGTTCTTTGGTGTATAATAAGCTGTAACTATGAATCATTGTGTCTTTGTTATCTTAGAATGAACCCTTCATATCTATTTAGGGAGCAGCTCCTCTTCAACAGAGGCTGCCACCACCATGTTTCTACAGTAGCCCAGAACAGACGAACCAAACACTGGCTCTAGAGGGCGCCTTTCATGTTTTTATGCTGATGTGGCAGCTTGAATTTGATACATTTTGATAAATGGAGGGTCAGACTTATTTAGCACAAGGAAAAAGTGAGGGAGGGTGAATCCTCACCATCGAAGAAGAGAAAACATGAAGAATTAAAACTAAATCGGGACGGACGGCCACTGCAGGTTCTACTACACGCTTGGAGAGGGAGAGAGGGAAGGGGGTTCAGCTGGGTGCAATCTCAACCTCACCACTAGATGTCACTAGATTTTACACACTAAACCTTCAAGTTAACACTACGGTTTCAGTACAGCGAGCCGAATCGCTTTCAACGGCATCTGTTGGATGGTTTGGGCAGGGGGTGTGGGGGTGAGGAGGTGTGGGGTCACTAAAACACACACAGGTTGAGGTGCAAAGAAACCTCAGTTACAGACCAGTTCTGAACTACAAAGCGGCCTAATATTGTTTATAAGCTCCATGTAATGTTTTTATCATGCATTATAATCCTCTGCCAGGCGTGCAACCCAGTGTTAAACCTCACCTCAAGACACAATCAGTTACAGCACCACACGTCAGCAATCTGATTGGGTGCCGCTCAGTTTGTTTACATTTAGCCCCTCCAGAACGAAGCATCAGAGAGAGGATGTGTCCGTGGTTTATTGTGTCAGTTATGAGTATATATTGTCATCTCTCGCCTCGTTACAGCACATCGTCATTCTGTTAGATGTAAATAACATCGTTTACATCACATATATGCTGTTAAAGGTTCAGCACTCCAACTTAAAACTCCTTTCTGTGTCCCTGCCTGCTGATGTACAGCTTATCATCCTCTAGTCCTTCATCCGTGGTCAGTTTCTGACCACAGAGTAGCTCCTGATCTCAGTATTTTTTGGGTGGCTCTCCAGTGCAAGGGAGGTGTTTCTAATAAAGTGTCCATTTTTCAAACAAAAACATCTCCCTCTCTTTATGTCCCTCTTCTAGATCACAGTGCAGGACGTCCCCACCAGCAGCTGTTACTCTCTCACTGATCCTCATGTCCTCACCTTTGATGGCAGGTAACACTGAGACACTCGCACCTGCAGAAACACCTGCAGAAACACCTGCAGAAACACCTGCAGCACACTCCTCTTACATCACCTTACTCAGAGATTCGTCCACTTTTCTGTGATTCTGTGCTTTTTTTACTAGTTATCTAGTCACTCAGAGTGATCTAGTGGCGTGGAGGCGGATACGCATGTAGCTTTAAATGTATTTCAGTGCACTTTTTCCACTTCTTTCCAGTTCATAGATCTTGTAGAAAGTATTTCTAGCTGCTGTATTTCATTACTAAGGTCAGACAGTGTCCCCAACGACTCAACAACTCAATCCAAACTGTGGATAAAGTTGACTAGTTGTTAAATTAACTGATAAAGAACTAGTGGAGATATTAGCCAAGTAGTGTCTACATTAGCTGACTAGTGGAGATACTTGCCAATATATTAACTAACAATTGGAGATATTAGCTAGCTAGTGAATATTAGCTGACTTATGTATCTAGTTGACGAGTAGTTTGATTAACTGATAAATTAACCAACTAGTGGAGATATTAGCCAAATTTTAGCAATCTAGTGGAGATATTTGCCAATACATTAGCTAACAATTGGTGATATCAACCAGCTAGTGGATATTAGCCAACTTGTAGATATAGCTGACTAGTGGTTATATTAACTGATAAATTAACCAAATATTGGAGATATTAGCCAAAATATTAGCTAACTAGTGGAGATATTAGCCAATACATTAGCTAACAATTGGTGATATCAGCCAGCTAGTGGATATTAGCCAACTTGTGGACATAGCTGACTAGTGGTTGTATTAACTGATTTATTAACCAAATATTGGAGATATTAGCCAATTCATTAGCTAACAATTGGCAATATTAGCCAGCTAGTGGATATAGTTGAGTAGTTTTTAAATTAACTGATAAAGAACTAGTGGAGATATTAGCCATCTAGTGAATATTAACCATCTTATGGATATAGTTAACTAATAGTTCGATTAACTGATAAGTTAAACGACTAGTGGAGATATTAGCCAACTACTGTATATATGAGCTAACTAGTGAAGATATTTGCCAATATATTAGCTAACAGTTGGAGATATTAGCCAGTTAGTGGATATTAGCAGACTTGTGGATATAACTGACTATTGGTTTAGATTAACTGATAATTTAACCAACTAGTGGAGATATTAGCCAATATATTACCTTACTAGTGGAGATATTAGCGAGCTAGTGGATATAATAGCTGACCAGCAGACACAGTAGGTTTATCAACCGGCAGATACTATATTAAATTTAATGATTAGTACAGATTAGGAGATTAGATTAGGAGATTAGATTAGGAGATTAGATTAGGAGATTAGTCTTTGCGAGCAGGTTTCTCTGCGTCTGTCCTCACTCATCCTGCAGAAGGTCGCTCTGTCTTTTAAGGTTTTGTTTACCGGGTTGAAGAACACTGCGCTCGTCTCTTCAGCACAGAAGGAGAGATCTTTAGGAGACCATATGGGATCTGCTCTCATTAAGGCCCTCGTCCTTGACTGGCTCAGACATCCTGCCTCAGCTTCTCCTCTACACACAGACTCACAGAGAACAGCCTTACAGCCGTCCACAGCGCAGCTCATTACGGGAGCTTCAGAAACAGAGTTTCAGACGCAGTGAGATTCACTGCCTGCTTTCCTTTTAGAGCATCAGCGCAACATTTCATCCACTGAAATATGTGGTGGAAGAAATACTAAATTAATAAAAATTAATAAACTAAAAATTAATAAAATAAATAAATAAAAGCAAAAGGAAATTAAGAAAGTATTACTATATTAAAAAGAACATAAAAATAGCAAATAAAATTATAAAATATATCAATTATAGCAGAATTAGGTCAAATTTATGTAGAATTATGTAAAATGAATAATTTTTTTAAATGATAAAATGCTAAATGCTGATAAAAATTGTGATGAATATTAATAGTTAAGCAGTTTAGTTGTCTTTTCTTTTTTTTCCCTCATTTATATCTGTATTTTAATCGAAACATGCTACAGTTCAGGGTCATTATGTGCTGACATTTCTCTTTCTCAGTTCATTTTACTGTCGTTCTTGCCCTTTCTCCACTAGACTGAAGTACCCCTCGGAGGGGGGCATTCAGAAGCCCCCTAATGTCTATTTAAGTAGTTTTAAAGGTCAGCTTTAAAGAGGCTGCTGTTAACATATCTTTTATTCCTTATCAGCGCACTGCACGCCCATTAATGTCTGTTCAGCCAGATCAAACAGAATCCCGGCTCGTTTATGCGCAACCTTTAACGATGTTAAACAAAAAACACTTTTAATGCATGTTTTTATGGCTGCGCTTAATTAACTAGTTAACTAAAATAATGATGAGATGCTGCTTTTGGCCTTTGACTCCAAAAATCTTCATTAGATCAGGAGTTGTTTGGGAAGAATTAAGCCTTTTTATATCCAAGATTAGAGGGAACATGTTACAGTCAGTGAGCCTAACGAGACGTCTGTCATTATTAGTTCATTTTTATTAAATATAATAATCATGTTTGCTGTATTATGCTGTAAGTTTTATAGTAATACTCTTATTTTTTCATTATTAAGTTGTGGTTGGAAACAAAATGGAAAGGAATGTCTTTTGAAAGTGTGTTTAATCTACAATGGCCAAAAATATACATTTGCACAGGCATTAGCTTGGCGCTAACATATTATTAGAAATCACATAGGGGCGCTAGCAGAAATTAGCAGGTTTTCTATTTATTTTTGTGGCCCAAACTGAAGATCTAGCTCTGATAGTCAGGGTTGGCTGCTGCTTATATTCAGGGACAAGTGTGAATTCATGTGAATTGAAAGAGCTGATGACCAGTTTATGTATTTCTCAATACATTTAACAACCTCATATGATACACATTTGTCTATATACAATGTTTAATAACTTTGCAGTAATTAACCTTTTAACAAGCAATTACAATGACTGAATGATGGGCTTTAGCACTTTAAATATCACTGAAGCTCTACATGAAAAGCTAGTTGTTGGGGGTGTTTTAAAAAAAGTACATTTTGAATTTAAAATTTTTGTTGTGGTAAAAAATTCAGTTGGTTTCATGGTTGATATTTGTCAAAAAATTTCAGAACTATAAGCTATGCATTTAGTCAGGTGGGTCAAAACTGAATGGTAATGAACAGTCTATGCTGGTGGTTGCTAAGATGTTGCTAGGCCGCTGATGTGTTATCCCAGGTGGCTGCTAAGGTGTTGGTAGGTCGTTGCTATGTTATTCCAGGTGATTGCTAAGATGCTGCTTGTCCACTGTTGTGCTATTCCAGGTGGTTGCTAATGTGTTGCTAGGCAATTGTGATGCTATCCCAGATTGTTGCTAGACCTTTGCTATGTTATTCCAGGTGGTTGCCAAGATGTTGGCCATTGCTTTGCTGTCGCAGGTGGTTGTTAGAGAGTGTTGCTAGGCTGTTTCTGTGTTATCCCAGGTGGTTGCTAAGGTGTTGCTAGGCAAATATGATGCTATCCCAGGTCGTTGCTAGGCCTTTGCTATGTTTTTCCAGGTGGTTGCTAAGATGTTGGCCACTGCTATGCTGTCGCAGGTGGTTGTTAGCAGGTGTTGCTTGTGTTATCCCAGGTGGTTACTAAGGTGTTGCTAGGCAATTATGATGCTATCCCAGGTGGGTACTAAGGTGTTGATAGCACTTTGCTGTGCTATCCCAGATTTCACTTGTTTCAGTATAAGTTCTGTGATCCTGCAAGTTTTCATGGTTCTAGGTCGAAAACTGTACAAGGAGTAGCGTTGCAAATTTTTGACTGTAGAAAATTATCATAATAAGAAGAAAATGAAGAACAGTGTATATAATATTTTGTTGTTGTAGCTCCAAAACAGGAACTAGATAAACAACATAAACAGTAGCAGGAGTTTTCTTATGGTAACGATGATATTATGTATATATATTTCCCCCCACAGACGCTTTGAGAACCAGCAGACGGGGACGTTTGTGCTGTATAAGGCAACCGGTCGAGTGTTCGAGGTTCACTCGCGGCAGTGGGACTGCGGCAGTCGGCACTATCCCGTATCCTGCACCTGTGGTCTGGCGGCGCGAGAGGGCAACGAGGTCGTGACCTTTGACATGTGCAACGGCCAGCTGCAGGAGACACGCCCCCAGCTGTCCATCAAAAGCCTGGGACCTGTCTCAACCAATCAGGTCAAGATTCATGAAACGCATCAGGGCAAAAAACTTACGGTAGGTTTTTTTTTATGTAATTATGCTCCGCCCACAAATGTGCTCTTCATATCTACTGCTGTCATTCAGCCTAATGAGAAACTGTAGAACAGACTCAGTTTATATCACAATACCTACATTTAGAGTCAGTTATTCATTCAGCCTAATGAGAAACTGTAGAACAGACTCAGTTTATATCACAATACCTACATTTAGAGTCGGTTATTCATTCAGCCTAATGAGAAACTGTAGAACAGACTCAGTTTATATCACAATACCTACATTTAGAGTCGGTTATTCATTCAGCCTAATGAGAAACTGTAGAACAGACTCAGTTTATATCACAATCATTTTTAAATCTGACTTTTTCTTTGTTTTGATGTCATTTTTTGACAAAAACAGCAAAAATCTAGATCACACCAACAATAACTTTCCATCAGATTTGAATCATAATAAATTTCTCCTCTTTTACTGCCAAACACTGATGTGTTATGGATTAAAAGTTTAGAATCTGCACAATTTTAACACTCATTTCTATAGGGACAGTGTGATATAAAAATTACAGTGTGAAAAATGGTATCTTGTCAAGTAAAATGATGTTAAATCTAGTCAAAATATCTAATATTTCCCATTTTGAGATGGTTGTGCACTTATTATCAGATTATCTGTCTCATTTATAGACATTTTTACTTGTTTTAGGTCATTTTATTAAGTACAATTACTATACTGGTAGACAATTTAGCTGGTTTCAAACACATTTATTACAACAAACAAAATTATCTGCCAACATAGTGAGATAATTTTACTTGATAAAATTACTGAAAACAAGAAAAATTTAGGTAAGTAATCTTAAATTAAGCTCCCAACAATCTCAACAGGAGAAATATTTGATTTATGAACTGTATTTAAGATTATTTTACTTGACAAGACACCGTTTTTTCGCAGCGTACAGCCTGATTTTGTGACCACCAGGCGCAACGGACCTCAGATGGTTAATTGGGAAAATAATAATTATTTCCACTTACAATTAGATTTCAAACTCATTTGTTGCAGAACCTGCTGTCCATATGGAGATGAAGGATGCTGTATGGTTTCCCAGATATTCCGACACTAATCCGTGATACACGGTGCATTTCACAGTTCATAATGTAACCGCAGAGCTGAACCTGAGCAGGAAATCCCTGCAGTCGTTACTGTAAACCTTCAGCAGTTCAAACTTCGGACATGCGGATTTCCATTTTCTCTGCGGAATTCTCTGGAAAGTAAACAGAGTTCCTCGTGTGTTTGGAAGCGGACCACAGCGCTGTCCACACTGAGGATTCATCTCCTCCACTCTGCTCCAGTGTTTCAGGACTCTTCAGTTAGATGATGCTACAGTCATATGCAAAAGTTTTAACACCCCTGGTCAATTTACGTTTCGTTGATTTTTCCTGTAAGTTTATTTCTTGACGTCATGGCAACTTAACTACAAAGCAGAAGTTTGTGAATGAACCTTAAGTTGGTTTGACACAGGCAGCTTATAATGCTTCAAAGGTTAAAGCAGCTGCAGAACATTGCTGACTGTGTTTGATAACTTAACTGGGTTTCTATAGTAATTCCAGATATTTATGAGGGGGATGTTTCTACGAGGTTGCTATGGCGTTATAGATTGTTATTAGGGCGCTGACTGGTGTTTGTTAGGTGGTTGCTAAGGTGTTGCTGGGTCATTGCGACAGTAGCCAAGGTGGTTGCTTACGTAACACAGATGGCTGCTAAGGTCCTGCTAAGTTGTGGTGATGGTTGGTAACGTGGTTGCTAAGTTGTTTCTTGGCCATTGCTGTGGTGGTTGCTAACGTGTTGTTAGATAGTTGCTATGGTATTCCAGGTGATTGTTAAGGAGTTGCTAGGGTGTTAGGCTGTTACTAAGGTATCACAAGTGGTTGCGAAGGTCTTGCTTGGCTGTTGCTGTGGTCACCAAGGTGATTGCTAATGCGCTGCTAGGCAGCTGCTATGGGATTCCAAGTGATTGATAAAGAGTTGCTAGGCTGTTGCTATGGTAACACAGGAGGCTGCTAAGGTCTTGCTATGCTGTTGCTATGGTTGCTAAGGTGGTTGCTAATGTCTTGCTTGGCCATTGCTATGGTATCACAAGTGGTTGCCAATGTGTTGCTAGGGCATTGCTCTGCTATCCCAGGTGGTTGCTAACGTGTTGCTAGGTAGTTAATGTAGTTAATAGTGCTATATAATTTCAGGTGATTGCTATATAATAATTTCAGGTGATTGCTAAGGAGTTGCTGGGGCTTTGCTATAGTATCACATTTGGTTGATAAGGTCTTGCTTAGCTGTTGCTTTGGTAGCCAAGGTGGTTGATAATGTGTTGCTAGGCCATTGCTGTGCTATCACAAGTGGTTGCTAAAGTGTTGCTAGGCAGTTGCTAGGTTTTTTTTCAGATGATTGCTAAGGAGTTGCTAGGACATGGTATCACATGTGGTTGCTAGGTCTTACTTGGCTGTTGCCATGGTTGCCAAGGTGGTTGCTAAAGTGTTGCTAGGCTGTTGCTGTGCTATACCAGGTTGTTGCTAATGTGTTGCTAGGCAGTTGCTATGGTATTCCATGTGATTGCTCAGTAATTGCTAGGTCTTTGCTATGGTATCACAGGTGGTTGATAAGGTTTTGCTAGGCTGTTGCTATGGCAGCCAAAGTGGTTGTTAAGGGACTGCAAGGCCATTGCTGTGGAATAGAAGTGGTTGTTAAGGTCTTGCTAAGCCATTGCTATGGTATCCCAGGTAGTTGCTACGCTGTTGCATCATTGCTATGCACCAAAATCTAAGCAATGTTAAAGGGAATTCCACCAATTTCCCCATAATTCAGTGTGTGAGATGTAATCAGAGTGATTCAGAGTGGTTTGGTGTGAAATGGTTCAGATGTCTTCACAGTGGTGGTGATAGGAACCAGGGGTCGCCATGACTACAACACAAATATAGACATTTTATTTACTGTCCAGAACCACCAGTTAACCTACACGAGTCTTCTGAGTTTATATGGAATGTTGATGATGGAAAACAGTGGAAAATCTGAAATAATAAGTTTTCTTTGGGGACTATTTTGCCTCACAGTGCCCTGCATGTATCCCTCCACCATGAATGGAGTTTAAGTTCTCTAAACTACCATAAAACAGTGTCTCAGTCATCAGGCAGTGAATTCATAACCATTTCATGTAGGAACTTTCTGTGAGGGAGCTTTTAGAGGTGGACGTCTGGTTCCTATCACCACCACTGTGAACAATTGTGATTCTAGAACAATGACAAAATATGCAAAAATAGTAAAAGTGTATGGAAATAGCAGAAAAAGAAAAAATAGGTCAAACAAATAAAATAACATTAAGTTAATTTGGCAGTAAACAAACTGAGTTTGTGTTTAGTGTAATAACATTAGCGCAATAGTTTTAGATGTGGGGTTTTGACCCGAGGGCAGCAGAACCGGGTTGTTTTTCATTGTTTTGAAGCCAGACTGGCGCCGTCCAGTGTAAAATCCTCACTCCTACTGGGCGAATGAAATATTTTGGCACTTTGGTCGAAGCTAATTGCTTGTGCTATTGAATATTCAGCCAAACGCTCCATATTTCGTATATAAATAAGTAAATAGAGTACAAAGTGGTTCGATGTCCTACTTTCTGACTTCAGAGGACAGGGAACCGATGGTCTGGACACTTTCTAGTCATTGTTATAGAAAGCAAAGCTACAGTTGGATCAACTTAACAAGACCGTTTCTTCAGTTTAGCACATCTAAAACTTTCAAATAGACTCACTTTGAGATGAGATTCGTTTAAAACTGGGCTTTTTTTCACTCAAGCCAAAGTTAAGCTGATGCACCTGATTCGGGTTTAGGCAGTAATCTTCCTCGCACACCTCAGAGCGCATCCTCTTACATTTCATTTAAGTATTTCTGACTCGTAGCTCACTGAAACAAGCAGAGAAAGTGCAGATTCTCTACTCTCAGTGAAAGAGGAGATATTTTATTATGATTTGAACTTGATGACGACGTTATTGTTTTGTGTAAAAGCCAGAAAAATGTGCAATATAGTCTTTACATCCAATAATTCTCATGCTGAGACTGTTGTAGACTTATTATAAGAAGGGAATGTTTGTGAATGAACTTTAATGCTGCGTTCACATTACAAGCCTCGTTGTTCAAATCCGATTTCATGCTCAAATCCGATCTCTCTGACACGACGGTTCACACTCGTTTAGGTAAGTGACTCAGATCTGTCATTAATGTGACGAACCGGCGTCCTGAAATGACCCTCATGACCACATCCTACTCAGTAACGTCACGTGAATGAATCACGTTCATCATCAGCACAAACTAACGAGCAGAACGAGCTTCGCTGAGAAGATCATTAACTCTGATCAGCTCTCAGCTTCATTATTAGAGCGAGACGAAGGAGAAAAAGGTGAGATGAGCTGCTTTTCCACCGTTTACAGGCTTTAACGTCTGTTCGGCGCTGCTGCCATGGTAACGCTGAATGACGGCGCAGCGCAGTGGGGAAAAAAAGCACATGAATTCCGATCTGAGCGTCACATTAAGGTCGCATGGCCACGAATCAGATACGTATCCGATCTAGGACCACATATGAAAGTGACTTAGGTCGGATTTGAACAGATCAGATTTGTGTCCACACAGCTCTGAAAGCATCAGATCTGAGTCACATTAGGGCAAAAAATCAGATTTGTGCTAAGGTGTTGCTAGGCTGTTGCTCTGCTATGCCAGGTGGTTGCTAAGGTGTTGCTAGGTAGTTGCTAGGGGATTCCGGGTGATTGCTAAGGAGTTGCTAAGCCGTTCCTATGGTATCACAAGTGGTTGCTAAGGTCTTGATAGGCCATTGCTATGGCAGCCAAAGTGGTTGTTAAGGCGCTGCATGGCCATTGCTGTGGTATCCCAGGTGGTTGTAAACTAATAAGTGCTTTATTTTGCTTATTTTAACATTTTTTTACCTGCTTTAAGTTACTTTATCCAGTAAAATTATGATGCTGTATTGACAGATAACTTTGCTTGCTTAAAGAAATGTGGTAGAATAGCTTAAAACAAGCAAAAATGTGTGGACATAATTTAAATATTCTTATCATATTTTAATATTTAATACATATTTGACATACTGACTAGATTTTAGGTAATTTCACTTGCCAAGATAGCTATTTTAGGAATTTTTATACATTTTTGCACAGGAAAAAAATTCTAATCTGTCTATGCAGAAAGGAAATCACATGTAAATGAAATAAATTCTTTATATAATAATTTACCAATTAGTTTCATAACAGTAACTGAGTAATATTAAGTAATAAGCCTTATGATTGGTAAGTAAATAATAAGTCTAGTGTATAAGAGGTTAAAACATTTTTTTTATATATTTTTTGTCAAGATGCACATACAGACCAACTAACTATGTAATTTCTGATTTAATTATGTAATAAGATTGTAATAATTATCTAATATAAACTGAATTTGCAGCAAAGCAGCAATTATAATTCTAAGGGTTTTTAACAGCTGATGTTCTAGCAACAGATTTCAGCCCTGATCTTGTGATGAATTGGGAATTACAGTCAGTGAGGGTGATTCCATTTCATTTTAATGCAAATCAAGCGGTAGGAAATGCTTACAGTCGACTTCTAAAGCTGAAAAAAGTGCTCATCGTTTCAGATCCTGTTTCCCTCGGGGGCGTTTGTGCGGGCGGACGTTGCAGACTGGGGAATGAGCGTTTCCGTCAGAGCGCCGAGCCGAGACTTTAACAGAACCCGCGGCCTCTGCGGCACCTTCGACAGGAACACTCACAACGACCTCCACAGTCCGGAGGGCAGCATCTACCAGAACAACGAGCTGGAGCACTTCATACAGGACTGGAGGTGAGAAACTACAGAAACACTGAGTTCACCACTTAGCAGTTCAGCTATTAGCCACTGGCCACTTTATTAGAAACACCCAACTAGTGCTTTCACTCACTGGCCACCTTATTAGAAACACATACTACTTCCACTAACTGGCCACTTTATTAGAAACACCTCCTTGTACATCCAATTAGTGGCCACTTTTTTAGAAACACCCACCTTGTGCTTCCACTAACTGGCCACTTTATTAGAAACACCCGCCTTGTGCTTCCACTCACTGGCCACTTTATTAGAAACGCTTCCTTGTACATACAATCAATGGCCACTTTATTAGAAACACCCACCTTGTGCTTCTGCTAACTGGCCGCTTTACTAGAAACACTTCCTTTTACATCCAGTCAGTGGACACTTTATCAGAAACACCCACCTTGTGCTTCCACTAACTGGCCACTTTACTAGAAACACTTCCTTTTACATCCAGTCAGCGGCCACTTTATTAGAAACACCTCCTTGTACTTCAGGCCGCTTTACTAGAAACACCCTGTGCTGTTATGGGTGTTTGCTGACTCAGTGTAAAGGTGTAAAGGTGTACAGGTGTAAAGGTGTACAGGTGTAAAGGTGTACAGTATATGAGACCAAAGTTTTTTGTCAGCCTCCGATTTTTTGTTATAATCCCAAAAACCGTGAGTGACACTGAGCTGGGGACGCAGAGCCGTTAGGATTCAGATTTGTGTTCTTATCTCCTCGTAACCTTGAGGTGCTTTTTCTTCTCTGAGATAAAGAGCCGGTGCGGGGAGGGGGAGGGGGAGGGGGGCTGGGAATCAAATTGAACGGCTAACCTTTATCAAATCCTAAATCCTCTCTAGATTGCATGTCGCAGGGGCTTAATTCTAAAGGCTAATGCGGAAGCTCATTTCCGGAGGCCGTATTTCTCTCTCTCTTCTCCCTGCGTGTCAGGCTGGATCCTGGGGAGAGCCTGTTTGACGGGGCGCCACCTGCTGAGGCCGAGCAGATAACCAGGAGTTTCTGCGCCTGTCAGAGCGGATACGGCGCTCAGAACGTCCAGGAAACGGCCGCTCCTCGCTGCCTCTCTCAGGACCACGTGGACCAAACCTCGCTGTTCCCCTCCAGAGACGCCACGGCCGAGTTTATGGTCATCTTGCCGGCTGTCCGGAGCGATCTCACTGAGGAGGAGCTGCGGATGGACTCGCTGTTTTACCCCGAGACCCCTCAGCTCAGCAGGTCATTAACGTCCTCCCGTTAGTGCGAATCCATATGACTCTGGTTGTGGTTTATCTTTCCAGCCTCACCTTCATCTTGCAGGCAAAAGGTTTATCATTCATTTTCTGTCCATTTTATCAGCTCCACTGACCACGTAGTTGGAGTTTTATAAAAAAATATACATTTTATAAAAAATATCTACATTATTTTTACCGGATTTATCATCCATGACTACCATATGAAAATAAATTTAAAAATTAATAAAGTAAATTTGGACCAGATTCCACAGGCTTCACCAAAATGTAGCAATAATTAAATAACATTATTTAATATTATATAAATAATTTAGTATTTAATAGTATTTAAATAATAAATTAAATCTTGTGATACTTGCATATGAAAATAATGAAAAAATAAGAATAATTTAAATTTTGATTTGAATAAAACATTGCTAAATTTTATGTATATCTCTGTCTGTCTGTCTATCTATCCATCTATCTATCTATCTATCTATCTATCTATCTGTCTGTCTGTCTATCTCTCTGTCTGTCTATCTCCCTATCTATCTGTCTGTCTACCCATCTATCTATGTGTCTGTTTGTCTAACTATCTGTCTGTCTGTCTGTCTATCTGCCTGTCTATCTATCTATCTATCTATCTATCTATCTATCTATCTATCTATCTATCTATGTGTCTGTCTGTCTGTCTGTCTAACTATCTATCTGCCTGTCTATCTATCTATCTATCTATCTATCTATCTGTCTATCTATCTACCCATCTATCTATGTGTCTGTCTCTATCTATCTATCTATCTATCTATCTATCTATCTATGTATCTGTCTGTCTGTCTGTCTGTCTCTCTGTCTGTCTATCTGCCTATCTATCTGTCTATCTACCCATCTATCTATGTGTCTGTCTGTCTAACTATCTGTCTGTCTGTCTGTCTGTCTATCTATCTCTCTGTCTGTCTATCTGCCTATCTATCTGTCTATCTACCCATCTATCTATGTGTCTGTCTGTCTAACTATCTGTCTGTCTGTCTATCTGCCTGTCTATCTATCTATCTATCTATCTATCTATCTATCTATCTATGTGTCTGTCTGTCTGTCTGTCTAACTATCTGCCTGTCTATCTATCTATCTATCTATCTATCTGTCTATCTATCTATCTACCCATCTATCTATGTGTCTGTCTGTCTGTCTATCTGTCTAACTATCTGTCTGTCTGTCTGTCTATCTATCTATCTATCTGTCTATCTACAGAGAGGCCGTTCCTGACCCCTCTTCTGGTCACAGGTATAAAAGGCAGGACCGCCTTCAGGGTCTCCAGACTCTCGGTCACATTGATCTGGAGAATCTGGCGTATTTCTTTCCGGATGACCACCTGTCCTCAGGCCGCCCAGCTGCCCGCCCCTCCTGGCCCACCCCTGGCGGCCTCACCTCCTCCAAAGCTCTGGAGCTGTGTCGGCTGGCTCTGGTGAACTCCACTGTGGGCGTGGCCTGCGGGCGGGCCCTGGGCCGGCGGCTGGAGGAGGCCGTGGACCTCTGCGTGCTGGACCTCCAGCTGAAGGACGACCTGGCCTGGGAGGACGCTCTGCTCCCCTTCCTGGAGAACGAGTGTGAGAGACGCTGGCTGGAGAACAGAGCCTCCGGTACTAGATCAGTCCTGAATCATACTGCTATGGCTTTCCAACCACAGTAATCATTTATATACAATAACATACAAAAAATGTAGATTAAATTTTATAAATTAGACCCCAGAAGATGTTCAGTAGGTAAAATATTTCACTACATACGAAATGATAAACAGGCAAATAATATACTGTCTGATCATAAATGCACGGATTCTTTTTGTATTTGTATTTTATTTTGGGAACAATACAAAGTTAATAAATGGTAAATAAAGTGCTGTAATCATATATTTACAATAATTCCTTTTCATAATAGCTGTCTTGATACTTAAATACAAGGCATTCTAGATGTTAACCTTATTTTTAACTTTATTCTGGATTTGAAAATTAAAGTTGTAGAATAAGTAAAAGAATTAATCATTTTCTGCCACCAAATTTGTTTCATATTAATAAAAATGCTTATTCTAAACATCTGAATGGGAATTTTTTTGCACATTCGCCTCCCAATTTTGTTAAAATGAGAAATCCAGAAGCAGTTTTGTCTGTTGAACAAATACACACTGTGGAAATGTTGCTGTCTTATCTTAAAGTGTGTAAACATGCTGAGTTGATTGAACTTGATAAGTAAACATAAACAGATATTTGCTTTGTTTGCTGACTCTCATGAAAGTTTATTGCAGCAAGTTTGCTTACGTTTCTAAGTTAGAGCACTAAAAGATTTCATACATTGCATTACAAATATGTCCCTGGACTCTCGTAGTGTCCGGTGCGGCGGTGGACGTGGCGATGGCCCTGCGGTGTCCCAACCTGTGTAATGGAAAGGGGAAATGTATGGAGTGGGGGTGCCAGTGCGATTCGGGATACAGCCACTACGACTGCAGCCTCACCATCAGTAAGTCTCCATTATAGCAAACCGACACACACAGTGAGGGACTCGATAGGGCTGGGCAATATGACGATATATATCAGTATCGTGATAAATTATGTCACATGCATGTTTCATTATAAACAGAGCAAAATTAGTCCTAACTGAATCACAGTTCACAGTTTTTGATATACACGTAGCACTACTGTCTCTTTTTCCTCTGTTCCAATTGATCAGATGTCTGAAAAAAGAAATATCGTGACATATTGTATCATGAAAATTGCTTGAAGTATCGCGATATTATAAATTTGCTGTATCGCTTCACCTCTAGGACTCAGTAACCTCATTTTAGCCAGGGTGGCATGTTAGCAACATTGATTAACCCTCTGGGGTCCACAAACTCTCCTGCACATCAAATTCTCTGTTTCTATACCTGTTTGTGTATCTTTGAGATGATCCAGCTCAGAAATCCAGTTCAAACCCTTCCTGAATCTGTAGAGTCGCCCTTTCCATTCCATCTTATCACGAGATCAAACGAGACTCACATCCGGAGTTATGAGCCTATGAAGAGGGGCTGAGATACACGTCATCTGCCTCTCACCGTGTGGAACTGGTGGATTGGTGTGTCCGTCTACATTCGCGTGAAACTGACCAATGGACACTCAGGAAATCACTAAGGACTGACCATCACGCCGGAAACCCTTCATTCTTCATTCAGTCCACATCGGAGACTCATGTGAAACGGCGTTCAGAGAGTTTACAGCTGCTGAAGCTGCTGCAGTGGTTTTGGAAAGTAGTGATGAAGATAACGGAGCATTTAGATATGAAACATATGAGGATCATGTGATATGAAGAGCCTTTAAAGGAGAGTTTAAGAAGATATGAATAGATCGAGAGAGAACGACCTCAGACCACAGAGTTAAACAGTATCAGCAGAGTAGAAATGAAATAGAAAAATTCAGGCACACTTTGCTTTTCAATACATTAAAAACAGGGCATATTATTAATATAGAAGTTTAGAGCTACCAATATTTAACCTTACAAATAGAATAACTGCTTTTTCTATAATAAATGCTCTTTCTTTCTTTGTGAATCTAACCGGGGAACAGAAAAGTTTGTCTAATTTGGAGCCTCACCCCATTACAGAAGCGCTGCGTTCATAATCAGTTTTGGATCAGCGCTTCCAAAGCCAGCCTTCAGGGAGCCCCAGCCTTTCCAAGCAAACGCTTAGATCTAATTACAGCACAACCAATTAGCTAATTAAAGAGCATGCTGACTGCAGGACTAATTGAGGCAGGTATGTCTAAGCTGGATCTGAGCCACCGCGGGAGCTTTTTTTGGGTTTCAAAGCTTCAGATTTGCTGGCGTATGAAAGCAGAACAAGGGCAGATACAGTAAATCCTTCAATAGACATATTTCACTGCCAAACAAAACCAGTGCAAAGGCTGATACAGTAATGTTCCTCAATCATTCAGAGCAAATAATGTACAGCTGAGATGTAACATACTGTGTGCTTCGCCTGTATACAATTAAAAACAGTTCAAAGACATTTAATATTTTATATCTTAATATATTTAATGTACAGTTCTTTAACACTGTTACATCACCTTTACTATTAACCCTGAAAAATCCCAATCTTATTACATACTAAGGCTTATTATTCTGTAACTGCAGGGACTTCAATGCAAACTGGCTGAGCTGTTCTTAGGTTATAAAAGTGTGTAGTAAAGCTTTGGGCCTGCCAGTGGGCCCTGGCCATTTAAGGGGTTAACAGCATTCAGCAATCTTTTGGGGGCTGAACACAACAATTGAGCCCTTGAAACAAAAACAGTATATGTGACATTTTTCCTAAAAATTTTATAAGCATTGTAGAGCATTGTTTGATGTCCTTTCTTAAAAATAAAGAGGTCACTACAACTAAAATCTAAAATAAAGAATAGTTTGGTTTTTTATATATAAACGGTTGTACAAAATAAAAAAGAATTTAAAAAAAAAAGATCATCCTAAAAAGGTGGAATGATTAAGCTCTTAACATTCCAGGTTTATCTCATACAAAGGCTTATTATTCAATAACTACAGGGACTTCACTGCAAACTAATGAAGCTATTATTAGGTTATAGAAGTGTGTAATAATGGCTCGTTAATGGTTTTTTGTTGGACGGGCTTAATTGTTGCAGTTGTGAAAGTGGGTTTTTTTTTGTTCTTGCATAATCTGGACTCTCACTACGACGTCATGCTGTTGTAACACGTGCAGAGTGTGGCTTGGCATTGTGTTGCTGAAACCAGAAAGAACATCCCTGAAAAAGACGTGGTCTAGAAGGCAACATGCATATTGTTGCTGTCCAATGAAAAGTTTTTCCTCTCCAAAATATGAACTTCACCTTTCAATGTAAGTAAATGTAAAGAGATTTTGTTCCAAGTGATTTTAGAGCAATTATATTGGTCCATTCATCATTAAATTTCTACACAACGTAAAGGACAGCTGGTTCTTTTCATCGGACAGCAATGATATGTACCCCTCGGTTTGTGCGAAGAACTCACTAACACACCTTTACAACATGACTGAACTTTACATTGGTAACAATCTGCATGGTCCTTTTCTTTTTTGAGAACCATTATTTCCATTAGCAGTCTGAAAGGTTGACTCATCAGACCACAACATTTCCACTGTGCAACATTCCATCTCAGATGAGCTTGAGCCCAGAGAAGTCGGCGTCGTTTCCGGATGTTGTTTAATATCACAGCAGTAAGGAGAGACCAGCGTGGCATGGTGATTTCATTATGTTATGTTTTATTTAGTAAACTAACTGTTGAGTATATTTAATGTTTTCTTCACTCAATTGAATAAACGAGGTCCAAGCCTGGGGTTTACAGGAAAGTGACTCCAAACTTTTGAACATTATTGTAAGTTATGTCTCTTTTTCACTCATGACGCGTTAAAACATTAGAACTCGCAGTTCTAACTGACCCGTTTTGCTCTCATTCTGCGAAATGCGACGACTCAGATGAACATAAGCGATGAATTATGAAAGCTCCCTAAACGCAGGTGTTTTGTTCTAAATTTAATCTGCTGTCTTTTGCGTGTCTTACTGTGGGACAGTATGTTTTTTTTTTTTTTTTTTTAAGCTTGGAAGCCAAAACGTGTTTAATTAAACGGGTAGGGGGACGCTTTCCACCGCAGCTGCTTTTCACAGATGGTGGTGAAGTTGCTGGAGCATCTCAGTGGCTTTGGATCAAAATCCTTTTCTGGCCCTGTTCTTTTAATCAAGCCCAATATCTCTGCTATCATACCTCATATGCCTAAAATATGGCTCTTAATTACATTTTCCATTGGATGGCGTTATCTCAAGTCCCTAAACTCATTTCATGTAACTCCGTCTCGGCGCAAGTATCGCCAGAGACGGGACAGATGGTGACTTGTGTTTGTGCTGAAGCTCCTTTGTGGTGAAGCTGTGGAAGTCCTTGACTGGGGGCCGGACTGCTAAACCGCTGAAAGGCTTTTAGCTCTACCAGCTAGGCCTTTTATTACTGAGAGATCCCCATGCTAAGCTAAGCTAAGCTAACGGTGTCCAAACCCAAGACTCTCACTGATTCTCGCTTGGAAAACAGCCCCCCGGCAGACCCAGGCGTACATCCAGGGAAACAGTTGTTGGGTATAATCTCTTCCAGGACATGGGAGAAGAATTTGTATGGAGTGAGAGAACAAGGGCTGATTTTTGGTGGATCTGGCACCAAAAATAATTCATTACTGAACCCCTTAAAATTCCAGGCTTATTAATAATAATAGTAGTGATACATTACACTTAGTACTTTTCACAAACCCAAGGTTGCTTTACAATGTAGGGACAAAAAAGCAGGCATAACATTCTGACCACCTCCTTGTTTCTACGCTCATTGTCCATTTTATCAGCTCCACTGACCATATAGTTTCACTCTGTAGTTCTACAGTTACAGACTGTAGTCCATCTGTTTCTCTGATACTTTGTTAGCCCCCTTTTACCCTGTTCTTCAGTGGTCAGAACCCCCATGGACCCTCACAGAGCAGGTACTATTTGGGTGGTGGATCATTCTCAGCACTGCAGTAACACTGATGTGGTGGTGGTGTGTTAGTGTGTGTTGTGCTGGTCTGAGTGGATCAGACACAGCAGTGCTGCTGTAGTTTTTTTAACACTGTGTCCACTCACTGTCCACTCTATTAGACACTCCTACCTTGTCGGTCCACCTTGTAGATGTAAAGTCAGAGATGATAGGTGTAAGTCAATGGAACCAGACATTTTTCCAAGTCATTTTGAGTCGTTTCTTTTAGTCCATTCATCATAAAATTTACACACAATGTAAAGAACAACAGGCGTTTTCAAATTGTGTCAAAAACTGAAAAACAACAAAAATGGAGATACAGAGTTTTGTCCCGACCACAGTGATAGCTAACATTAGCAATAGCTTTAAGCTAGTTTTGTTGACTTCATGCCCTGAGTGTTTCTCTCAGAGTGCAGGATGTGAAACACTGCTTGTTTGTTTTCTCTCGATAAATTTACTATTGAACACAAATTACTGAAGTTCTATGTCCTGTGTTAAGTTCACTTAAAGCCCAATGCTCTATAAAGTGTTATATCGCCGCTGTCGGGAGAAAACCTTGTATCTCCATTTTTGACGTTTTTCAGTTTTTGACATTGTTTGAAAATGTTGTTCTTTACATCGTGTGTAAATTTCATGATGACTGGACTAAAAGAAACGGCCCAAAATGACCTGGAAAAAAGTCTGGTTCCCTTGACTTACATTAAAAGTAAAGTAGGTTTTTTCCTTCTCCTGTAAAGTTACCATTTGGGAGATACAAGGTTTTCTACCGACAACAGTGACTATATATATATATATCTTATGTATGCCATACAATGCCTTATAAATGCTTTATGTATATCATTGTGGCTGTTTTGAAGGCTGAATTTTGTACCTTTTGTCCATTTTTGGTGCAGGCATGCAGTTAGCACCATGCTAATTGGTGGTGCATAGACTTTGCCTGTTAGCTACAT